TTATTTATTTTTTTCCGTACGAGCAAATGCTGCCTTTCGTTCTTGTATACATCCTTTTAGTGAGGCTTGAACGGTCTGTCCAGAATCTTTACTTCGACTCCTGCCATCAGACGTCGCCTGTGATTACAAAGGAAAATGACACGACCTGTAATGATCTGTAAAACTAATGACATCTGTGTGAAATTAGTCAACTTGAAAGCAAACTGTTGTACATGAAGCCTCGCCAAGCGTGATATTAAAATGTCCACTTTTTACATCGCTTCGCCCAAGCTCTGTTAGGACCCAGCCTGTTGGCTTCAGCGTGATGGAAACCTGAAGCTAATGACTCAAGCAGACGGCTGTGGGCATTAGACAACTTCATTTATGAAATAGTCAACCTCCCGTGTAGCGATACATTCACATTACGCCGCCTCACTTGAGAGACGTGCTGCTGTCACAGACACTGAGCAATGCTGATGTTCCTTCCTACCTGCATTCATCTTACTCCCAGGAGGTAATGGTCTTCTCAGGTCATTTGCGCATTAGAGTCCTGATCATTCATCTCACCCACCTGCAATCCTGCAAACCGCCGGTTGTCTGCAGCACACGGAGGGAGGTTGAGAAGACAAGGGAAACATAGACTCTCTGAATCATTCATGCGCACTGTGTATAGCTCCGAGTGTTTGGCCGTGTCCTAACATCTTCTGATGAGACAACGGCGATTTGTGAATGAGCAATAAATGTCCAAGTGATTTATCTATAGAATGTGTATGTTTGTTTCTTGTTTGGTGGTTTTCTCTGGAGGAATCTGTTTTTCTCTGCATCCATAATCTTTGAAAGTGGTTTTGATCTTTTCTCTAGGTTTTCTCAAGGTCTTCTTTGAAGAGTTTTTCTTTGACCATGACATCACCTATAGTGTGTGCCTGAAAACAAGAAGGACTGTGGAAATGTGGAGCACTGTTTGATCTAAACACCTGCCTACAGCAGATGAACAGCAAAATAGCTGAGCAAGTAGTTATCTTGCAAAAAGATCTGAAGCTCTCGACCTTGACCTCTCTAAGTGGCTTCCAACATCTGCTAAGTTCATGGGACATGTTCCTGTTTTTAGTTTTCTACAACACCTTACAATCAGCTGTTTTTGTTAAAAAGATTAATACCATTTTATTTTCACTTGTTATTCCCAATTTGTATGCATCCATTCTGATTGTCTACTGTTGTCTCTGTTGTCATCACTCTTTGTTAAAACCAGGTCTCTCTTGTAAATGAGTCCCTGAGGCTCAATGGGATTAACCTGTATAAATAAAGGTGGAATGAATGAATGAATGAATGAATGAATGAATGAATGAATGAATGAATGAATGAATGAATGAATGAATGAATGAATGAATGAATGAATTAATTAATTAATTAATTAAAAAGTCGTGTCTTTAAGAAACAGGAAAGCAATATACCAAAAACCTGACAGAGAACTGAGAGATTCATCATGCCTCTCTTGTTCTGACATTACTAAATGAACAGAGCCTTAAGATCGATGTAATTGCTGATGCAGCATTCATATTATTGTTTTCCTGTTCTTGTTCTACCCTTACATTTTTGCCATCTAACTACTTTAGCTACTTTGTGCTATTTTAGTCATTCATTTGTCATAAGGCTCTGTTCATTTAAAAGATGAGTTCTGACTGCTATATTTAAATTTATTTGCAAATACTTTCACCATAGCAAGATATTATGGCTTTTTAATTAAAAAAATTTTTTTTTTTTTAAATGTCCTTTTAAAATCTAGTTAATATCTAGTAATTTCTTCTATTTTTGTCTTCTTATACTACTTTTAGCTATTAGTTAGCTTTTGCTGCTATTAGCTGTTAGCTAACAGTGTCAAAAGCAATATATATATATATATATATATATATA